TTTTTTTTTTTTTTCATGGGATGAATCCGATAAACCATAAAAGTAACAATCTTCTAGGCGATACCACTTAAACAACAGTCTTCTTCAAGACCTAACAAATTTATCTTTCGAGAAAATCATTTTTTTTTCAATAGTTTTCTCAATGTACTCATTGACTGTTAGTAGGGAAAAAAAAGAGGAAAAAAAAAGAAGAAAGGAACAGCAAAAAGAAAAGAAAAAAAAAGGTTTAAAGCGATTAAATTTGGTTTCCTTCCTTCCTTCATCGGAGATACATTTAGGTATGTCTTTAACGTCAGGAGAAAGTAATCTGCTGAATACAGACCACCAATTTTAGCCAACATTTAGTTCCTCTTGCGATTTACAGCATTTAAAGATCAAATTTGTCATCGTTGCCGTAGCCGTTGTGATTGCGGTAGTCGCTCGCTGTCGTCGTCGTTCTCGTTGTTGCTGTTGTTGAGTTTGTCGTTGTCGTTGTGGTTACCATTGTCGCCTTCGTTGTCGTTGCCGTTCAAAGGAAACTAATAAATATACGTAACATACGTATTGAAAAACGCAACTGTACAGCGTCAATTACGAGGCAAAAAATTCAAATCGGTCACAGTTGCCAATGTTACTGACATTTCGTTATGAGACTCATAAAACCTTTGTGTTTGGCAAACTTCCAGTATGCAAATTTTTTGGCGCGAAAGAGTTGAATTCTGCCATTCAGTTTTTGGTTTTACCCACAGTCAGTTGCACTGCTGTATGGTGTGGAGTAAGGTGAGGTTTTCTAATTGATATTCTGTTTTGTTTTTATTTTGTATTTTGCTGTCTGTTTAATTTTTAAATTTGGATTTTTTCATACTTTTTTATTTTTTTTTCTTTTTCTGTGTTATCCTACGTGTATGTATGTACTTGTATGTTGATGTGTGAGCTTATGTATTGGTCTGTGTGTCTGTGTCTGTGTGCGTATGTGTGAGCGAGTGTGTTTATGTGTGTTATGCGCTGTTGCTGTTATTACGAAAGTAAGTGAAATGGTGTTGTGTTGCGTTGTGCCCTCATCTGTCTTTTGCCTCATTGCTGCTTTGATATTCTATTCAGGCACATATAGATGTCTTTGTGAGAGGGAGAGAGCTATTCAAAAATGGGCAGCGTATCACTCAAAAATCTGCACTCATTTTTCGCTTATTCTGACGTTTAGTTAACGCTTTGAGTGGCTGGTATTTTTACTCGCGTATTTCGTCATTATTGGTTCTCTGTCTGATATATATTAATATTATGTATTGGCGAGAGTGTAATTCGTGGGAGAATTTGGGAGAAGAAAAAAAAAAC